AAAACTTTTGCTTTGTTTTCTATTGTTAATTTATATACATTTTTGTTTTAAGACATTGCTAAACATTTTCGTCTAGTACTGTACAGTTCTAACCGATCTCCTAAGACCTAACTATTTCTGTTTTGCTCACGCCTAGTGTGTATTCTTTCTATCTTCGCGCAGATTTCTTCAAGGTCACAATTCAAACAAATTGAAATGGGCTGTACATGTATGACTTGACTAGCCTACATCCCTACATGAAGCTAACAAAATAAAAACTGTTGTAGCGCCGCTATGTTAAACCTTAACACTTTACGTATACACGCTTACCAAAGTTTGAATATATTTGTCTGGGACATCCTGTATAGTTGATTATAGAACTTCCATAGAATTAAAGTGGTTAGTAAGAATTAATTGTGAACCAATACGTACTGATGGGTAACATCTTAATTTAGTGTTTATAAATCTTCCACTGAATTCAGGATTAGATGATACCTTTTTGGAAAGCTAAAATTTCGAATGGTACTACAACCAGTGCGCGGAAGAATTAATCTTTGAACTTTGATTCATTTTAGCAACTAATACCCTATTTAAAGTCTCACCTATAAAAGGGAGTAGCCGCTAGGAGTAGTGCGATTCAAAGAATCTCGATCTAAGCTTTCCGAAAACGTATCAGACGACGCTCAATTCAATGGTCCTCCAGCGGAGCAACTTTTAACAGTTGTCGATAGGGAACATTATAGTCCAGTCATTATAGCATAATTGAACCGAGAGAATCTACCCCAAACACCACAAAAAACGCGGACATGTGCTTCGCCTACTTAGTTTATTGTGAGCATTTTCAATGCACAAAATTAATTAATCTTTATCAAAATATTTAGTGGCAATCGGAGTATACCACCATGTAAAGTAGCTCCCGGGATAGAAAATCTCAAAAATGGCCCCAAAAAATGACCGATTTTTTTAACCTTGCAATTTGCAAGTTTATCTCGATTTACGTATTTATCTCCAAAACTATCAGCGTAATCGAAATGCCCCAATAAGGTAATATGTTGTAAATTGCAAGACCTTTAAAATAAAGTTTGAAACGTTTTAATTGGAGGTATTTTTATAGAGATAAACGAGAAAAACCCCTGAACAAAAGGTAATTTTGGAAAAATTCGTAACTTTTCTAATTTAATATTCCAACGTCGGCTTTCCGGGAAAAGGTAGTGTATCAAAGAGGTATTTTAAGCAATTATAATTTATTCTAACAAGTACTTTTGTATGAGCTAATTTAGCTCACTCGAATAACGTGTTTATCATGACTAGAGTTTCTTTACTTAGAGAAAGGTACACGATGATTTAATTACAAAATATATACTTGTATGGAAAATATACTGCCTAAAAATAAATAGATTTTATTGCATATATTTTCTGGTATGAAATAAATAAATAAAACGAATGCAAAAGTCACTAGTCATAATAATTGAAAAAACTCTTTAATTTAATGATGCCCACATGCATGTACATATTCGGCCACTAGTCTGAGTGTGCGCTACTAGATTAACATCGAACGGTAAACCACGACCATATTCGTTTGTGCACATCACTCACGCTGTAACATTTTCTAACTGAACGGACAATGTAGTCCAGGCAAATTATATTTTTGGGTGGAAAAGTTTGGACTTTAATTTTTGCATGTAAATTAGTAAAAAATTACGTACATCATTAATAAATGTGTATAACTTTTTTCTGTTAATGTTAGCGAAAGAAATTACCACTTTTTTGATAAGGATAAGGGAGGTCCGAATTTTCATAGCGATAAATTTTCTTCAATAGAGAGAAAAAGCGATTTCTTTCGTGTCAACTTTTAAGAGAGAAACTCGGCTATCATTGCAGTGAAATTTTGGAAAAAGAAGCCTTTTTTTATAGTTATCATTCCTCCTAAAATTATATTCCGATCGAATAGATAGGTGACCAAGAATTAATTTGCTAATAAATAAAAATTATAAATTTCATAATGCTACCAAAAGTTAATTATTCATCCATTATCATCTGTGCTCACAGAGAATATGCAGGAAGTGTAGCTCTATTATATTCAATCATTAAAATTATATTTTTAAATTATTTAACGTTATTTTTAGCTATCTGTTTGTAAACTCGATTTATAGGTAAGATACCTTTATTGGTCCTAAATAAATGTTTTCTTAATACATTTCCATAATCTTTTTATAAAACTGTCAAAAGTTAGTTTGCAAAGAAGTAGTCAAATATGTACCAAAGTTTCCGAATAAATGCAAAAACGAGATAAAATTGTAAACTGCAATGCTTAAACACTGTTTTAAGAAACTGAAAATATTTGTAAGGCCATTTTTAATATTTTATACTCTAGAATAGCGGTACCAATTTTTTTTGCTACGGAACCCTTTTTGATTTATCCTTTCTTGGCGGAACCCAATATCGACAAAAAGTGAAATGACTGCAGCGTATTTATCTTTAGGTTCGACATAAGGTTATTCAAATTTGAATCAGCTGATTCGAATTTTATTAATATCTATCAAAAGCTCATTCCGACATAATTAACATTGATGGTTTATTCTGTTTTTTTTGTTCAATACATTCAATCTAGAAGCCAAATTTGTTTGTTGTCGTTAGAGATAGATAGTTATTTTGTATCTCACTGTAAACGTAGTTGTGGTTCCTCCCTGTGAGGACCTACTGACTACGTTAAGTTTATCGAATATACCTACCGACCAAATAAGCCAATTTCATTATCCATTTCTCATTATGCAATAGTTCGACATGACTAACGGATGTAAAAATTGGTTATCCAACGTTGCTCTCGAAAGCCATCTCACTTCTGTATGTAGAAGGAGTGATAGATGCTGACTTTCTATATCTTCACATGCGCTTTTAAAAACAGTTGACAGACACAGTACACCTGTGTCGCACTTACAATTGGGGACTCACCTTAAACGATATGGCTGTATTTTAGTCACTTGTTAACCGCCCCTTTTCTCACACGGTCTAGCACGATTTTATCCTTAAATCGTCCTTATAGGAATGGATCTTCTTAACATTTTTTGAAATGAAGTCTTCATGAAAATTTTATTTTAACTTTCTTTTTATTCAATCGAAAGTAGTAAATCTTCATTTTTTAACAATAAAAAAAACGTTGCTTAGGTTTCAAACCTCTATACGTATGAGTTAGATTAGTATTTTGCCAAACCTCCCTTTCAGAGTCGTATAGTTTATGAACAGCCCCTTTTAATTTAATTTCTATAAGGTTTAAACGTTTATACGAAATTATAATGTATCCGAAAATTCCACAAATGGTGCGGTAAACGCCTTCTGTAGTACGATGCTACATTTTAGGATTACGTACGCTCCAACAAGGTCCATTTAAATATATGGATATCTACTTGCTGAAACCTTGTTGGAGCGTACGTAATCCTAAAATGTAGCATCGTACTACAGATGGCGTTTATCGCGCCATTTGTGAAATTTTCTAAAACGCGCTATTAAGGCAACAGGTAAAAGTTGGTCTATGTTCTGTCGGAGCTGTCTGCGACGCGCTGATGAGATCCAAAAAGATCGAAATCGCGATCCGCGTCTGGCAGTTTCGACAGAATACAGATCACTTCGAATTATTTTATTTTATAATGTATCCGTTAAGTATTCCTTTTTTAATTGGTTTTATTTTAAGGTTGAAAATGAGCGTAATAAGACAAAAATTAAAGAGCTGGAAAATAAACTAAAAACTGAACATCAAAAAGTAGAAAATCTGGAAGCAGATTCTCAAAAACTTTTTGAGACCGAAGAGGCTTTGGTATCGACGCGTGACGAATTAGAAAATTTGAAAAAAGAAATAGAAAATCTCAAATCCGAAAGACTGGAAGAAAAAAATAAACTTCTATCGAAAGATGGTAAATCGTTAAAAATACACACATTTATAATTCAATTTCAAACGTAATAGTTTATTTTATATTTCTACAGATGAGATCAACAATCTCAAAAATTTATTGGAAGTTGCCAGTCAAGAAACGTATAAGATCACGAAAACGCAAGAAGATGAACTTAACCAAAAATTAAAAGAGCAAGAAAATGAAGTTGAGAGACACAAGCGTCAAATAAAAGAAACGGAAGATAATTGTTTGCTACAAACGAACGAAATAAAAGAACTGAAGGAAGAATTGATGCGAACTAAAAAAACCTTGGAGGAAAAATCCAGTGAACTTGAAAAGGTTACAATAGAAAGAAACGAACAACAGAAAGAAATTGAGCAACTTAAGATGAAACTAAGTTCTGTATTGTTAGATGTGGAAAAAATGAATGACGAGGTTAAACAAAATGAGTCTTCCTTTAAAACTTTACAGAGAGATTACGATACTTCTGTTATAATTCTTAAAGCTAAAGAAGATGAAATCGTACGTCATAAGAAACATGCCCAAGAAATGGAAAAAGATCTTAAAGGAGAAATAGAAAGACTACGTAATTCACTTCAGAACACTGCTGCAGAGAAGGAAAAATCTGATCATCAGAATGAACTTATGTCTTCTAAAAAAGATAAGCTTTTGGAAGAAGTAAGTGAGACTCTCGAAATTAGCAAAAGAGAGGCAGAGACATTAAAGAACACTCTCGAAGAATTGAAACAAAAAGCTGAAAAAGATGAAGAAGAAGCTAATTCAAGGCACAAACGTGAAATTGAAGATAAAAGTGAAGCAATAGCCACTCTAACGTTTGAGTTACAAAAACAGAAAGATGAGCTTGTTCAGTCTACATTTATTGTTTCAAAATTGGAAGGCGAACTAAGGAAAAAAGACGAGATTGTAACAAAACTCCAGTATGAGTTAGATACTGTAAAAAATCAGTATCAAATGCAAATGGAATCTCAGAGTACTTTTGGGAATGAAATTAAAGGGTTGCAAGCAGAAAATTTGGATCTTAGACGTAATGCAGAAATAAACCAAGAAACAATAAACAGACTAACGGAAGACAAACGTCGCTTGGAAAGCGAGATTCAGGTACGAAGGAATTTTATATAATATTTAGTCAGAAACAAGTTACTTTTATTTACAAATTTCTATTTATTCTTTAACTGTAAACAAAGATAACAAAGTATAGTTTCAAGAGCTTCATTATTGTGCACATTACAACATCGTTTCGCCGACCATAGTGCTCTTGTTTCTATATTTTGCTATTTTAATTTAAAATAATGGATAGGCTTTCAGCTTATTTATTTCTTGTAAAGAAACAATTCTGTATAATCTTTTTCTTTTTGTTGCTGTTACCTGATAATACACTATATTTTAGACTATTATAAGTTCTTCCGGTGAGTACAGTGTTAAACTTCAACAAATAACAAACGAAATGTTAGAAAAAGATCGACGTTTGGAAATGCTATCTAATGAGTACAAAGAACGGATCCAAGAATACGAAAATATTGGCAATGGTCTTAAAGTGCAATTACAAGAAGCTCAAGAAGAATCTGAAAGAATTAAGCAACATTTTGAATTGCAACTACAAAAAGCGCAGGAATGTGAATACAATTTAAGGAAACAATGGGATGAAGCCATGTCGCAAAATAAAACGGTGACAGATGGTTTCCTTACCCAGCTTACTGAAGCAAAATCTGTTCTGAGTGACAAAGAATTAGCGTTAGGCAGATATATGAATGAAGCAGAAGAACGAGAAAGGTAAACCTTTTTATAATTTCAATTTAATGATACGTCTTTTATCACTAACTTTTTTCTAGGCAGCTTAAAACTCAATTGGAACAGCTTAATAAAGAATTGCGTAATGTTATAGAATCTTGCAATACAAAGCTTGGGGAATCCGAGGTGGAAACAGTTAAACTAAAAGGCGAATTAGGTGCCAAATCGGAGCAAATTTCTGAACTTGAATTAAAAGTTAAATTATGCCAACTAGAAGCTGAACAACGATCAGAGAATATGCAAAAGGATTATGAAAGCTTACTCAAGAAAAAAGACTTTGATCTTGATCAAACAAAAGTAGCATTGTCGACTTTACAATCTGAACTTAAACTAGTTAAAAACGATTGTAATTCACATAATACTGACTTAGATGAAAAGAATTCGCAAATCTCAGCGCTTACAGAAGAAATAACCCAACTTCGTCACTTAGTAGAAAAACTCCAGATAGAAAAAGACAATCTGCTTACTTCAATTACCGATTCAAAAGAAAAATTTGTTATTAACTCTCAACAATGTGCAGATTTAATGGAACAAGTAACGGATCTTACAAAAAAAGCAAATCTGGCAGATAAACTATCTGAAGAATTGAATTTACAACAAGCTAAACTAAGTCAATTTGTACGTTTGCTTGATATAAGTGAGGAAAGAAAACAAAAAGCTCTTACTGAACTTCAAGCAGCTATTGAAGCTAACGGTGAAAATGAAAAATGCAAGCATATTTTAGACATTGTTAAAAATTTTCAAGCAACATCTATCGACTCTGATACTAAAAAAATAAGTAATCTTCGAAATTTGCTTGAAGAAGCAAATCATCAATTAAACATTAAAGGGAAACAATTAGAGCAACAGCAAAATGAAATTACCAAATTAGAAAACCAACTTTTACAGGTAGGTGATCTAATAGTAGGTAATTATTTATGACTTGATAAGCAGTAATATAAATTATAAAAAAAGATATAATTGCAATATAATGGGCAATAAGTATGAAAATATTGATGTTTTCTATTGTTAATTTATATACATTTTTGTTTTAAGACATTGCTAAACATTTTCGTCTAGTACTGTACAGTTCTAACCGATCTCCTAAGACCTAACTATTTCTGTNAGGGAAACAATTAGAGCAACAGCAAAATGAAATTACCAAATTAGAAAACCAACTTTTACAGGTAGGTGATCTAATAGTAGGTAATTATTTATGACTTGATAAGCAGTAATATAAATTATAAAAAAAGATATAATTGCAATATAATGGGCAATAAGTATGAAAATATTGATGTTTTCTATTGTTAATTTATATACATTTTTGTTTTAAGACATTGCTAAACATTTTCGTCTAGTACTGTACAGTTCTAACCGATCTCCTAATATTTACATACCTATACCTCAGCAAGCGTATTTATATGAAATACTACGCGCAGATTAAACAAACCCCATTAAATGGTATTAGAATAAGTAAATTTAAAAATTATAATTATTAGTCTAGAAAAAACAGGAAGAGTTCCTCAAATAATTACTTTCACGTAAAAATGTTACTTATGCATTTTGTTGTAATGGAGTTTTCCTTGTGGATCGTCGAGGTACTCATCTTTTTATTAATGCTCTGGAAAATTAAAAATACAATACTTTGTAGGTTTTTTGTAGTCTTTTGCGCCCAGTTAAATCGAGGTTCTAGATTCGTACATTGATAAAATGTAATTCTTTTATTATTTCAAGTTGCCTAATATACCTTCCCTAAATTCGTCAAGAGCTCTCCGACTACAAGGTTTGGCACCTCAAACACCCTTACATTATTACTTTTACGTCCATTTTGCGTATTGTACAAAAACATTTTTTTCTATTTCATTTCGTCATTTCTAGTACACAGTGAATGACTAGTAAATGAATGTAGGCTTTCACGGTCATGTTAGGTTAGAAAAGAAAAATTACTTGACACAAAAAGGACACCTTTTTTCCTTTAGTTATTCACAAGTATTTAAAGAAATTTTCATGTGCAAATAACCATAAAACAACAAAATTCTAAATTCCCAAGAGTCTGGGACAATTTTGCTAGATTTGTTAGATATTTGCGATATTTGTCATTTTCGATGTGAAACATCTTATGTGGCGGGTCAAATCGGCTGTTGGCGATAATTCTATGACTTTACTCGGCTCGGTGTCCCCCCCTCCCTCTCGACGTTTTTCACTTACCGCACTGAGCTTGTACTATACTGTGTAGAGCCTCCATAGCATGCTGTGTTGTTATTTTGATTTTTAATTTTGGTATTAAACTAATAGGTATTTTTTAAATAAAGAATAATTCTTTTCTTTAAAAAAATCTGAATATTGTGGTTTTGATTATTCCATATTTAATGCCTTTAATAAACCATTCTTTCATGCATACATATTTTATATACAATATAGTTTCGATGTTTCACATTTGTTAAACGTCCCATATAAAATACCTTGACCAAAATTTATAATCAGTACTTATCAGATACCGTAAGAAAGTACTGGGCGTCCCACGACATCACACAACTTCGTAATTTGAAACAGTGTTGAGTCATTTATAATATTCAGGGTGCTTCTGAAATAAGTGACAAGCTTGAAGGAAATGACAGGGCACTATAAAACAAGAAAATTAAGTAAATGTTTGGTGGTCCGAAAGTTCATCGTTTTAAAGAAAATTTGCTAGATTAGGTTATGTGTGATTGTCAATGTTACAGCCAGCCTTTTAACGTTGTAAGCTTGCATGTATGTAGTCAGTTGAAATCAGTGGCAGTAGGTCAGTGTGTCACTATCATATGTTAATGCAGAAGAGTATTATTGTATTGACCAGTACGTGAGTTTCTAGATTCTAGACGAATAGTTTCCTGGACATACGAGTCATGTCTTTTGCCCGACACGTAGTCCAAATATCAGACCTTTTTTCGCGACTCAAAAATAATGTGGTAGACTCAAGCCTGTCTTTTCACACGGGGTTCGAATCTCAAACAATTTTTGTAGAGTAGTGGTATGCAGTAGTAAGTTGTAGATATTTACACAACATTAGTCGTTCCATAACAGTCACTATTTACACTCTTTATCGATACATCTGCTTAGTCGTAATTTCTCTATACGCTCTCAATTCACGCCCAGGGCCGGCTTAGGATTGTGACTTCTTCTGGTTTTCTTACAAATTTTTTGATCCATTAACTACGCTTCTTTACCTACTTAAATATCAGAATATCACAGATCTTTATATTGTTTAAATGTATGTAAATTATACATTAAAGCATGTACCACACGTTTTTCAGTTGATGGTCAATTTTTGCATCTTGATAATTTCTTGACAATAATTTTTGCTAGCAAATTGCTCGTTTTGTTCTTGCAGCAAAAACAAAACAAGAACAAGAAGTTCGAGAAACCCTTCTGTCAGATACATTAATCGCTGATTTTTGTAACTAACTTATGCGCGAATCTCATCTCAGCTAATTACACATTTTTCGTTAGGCTAATATAATGGCGGTGCATGACATTTTTCTTTCCTCTTAATGGTATCTCGTATGCACTCATATAGATAATATTCTTTATGTGGCCAGTTGGTATAGAAATGAATGCTCTGCCATTACAGTGCCGATTATATTTATTCCCTCTCTCCATGCTGAGCGTGCTTGAGAAATCTTTAATGGTCGTGTTTGTTACTGAGAGTTTTCATGCGTAATAACTTTTTCATGGAGTAGGCATGCTCAAAATTTATAAATTACCTATATATTGTAGCATCAATAATAATAATATTTATTAGTTTTAAGTATGTGCGAGCACATCACTTTGAGTGGAAAATCTCAGTAACGAACACTACCAATATAACAGAATATGCGCATAAAAGATGGGGGTACTCGGAAGATAGAGACACTATCTTTTTTACTTTGTCGGAACAGTTTCCACTTATAGAAACATAGGAGTATTACTGTTCGTTTCAAGAAGTTGGAGATATGCCCCTTCCCTTTATTAGGATGCGCCGTAGCATAATTCCAAATTCAATCATATTTGTTTGCGTAGCTCATTTCTTCACCGATCATTGAGCGAGAGCTAGACAAAAGTGTACAGTACCATTTACAAAATTATTTAAGAGTGCCTCGTTAAAATTTAAGAATATGCTTTATTTAAAAGCATATTTAGCCAAAAATAATAACAAGTGAATTAACTTAACGCTCTACACACATATAAAACTTTTGCTTTGTTTTCTATTGTTAATTTATATACATTTTTGTTTTAAGAAATTGCTAAACATTTTCGTCTAGTACTGTACAGTTCTAACCGATCTCCTAAGACCTAACTATTTCTGTTTTGCTCACGCCTAGTGTGTATTCTTTCTATCTTCGCGCAGATTTCTTCAAGGTCACAATTCAAACAAATTGAAATGGGCTGTACATGTATGACTTGACTAGCCTACATCCCTACATGAAGCTAACAAAATAAAAACTGTTGTAGCGCCGCTATGTTAAACCTTAACACTTTACGTATACACGCTTACCAAAGTTTGAATATATTTGTCTGGGACATCCTGTATAGTTGATTATAGAACTTCCATAGAATTAAAGTGGTTAGTAAGAATTAATTGTGAACCAATACGTACTGATGGGTAACATCTTAATTTAGTGTTTATAAATCTTCCACTGAATTCAGGATTAGATGATACCTTTTTGGAAAGCTAAAATTTCGAATGGTACTACAACCAGTGCGCGGAAGAATTAATCTTTGAACTTTGATTCATTTTAGCAACTAATACCCTATTTAAAGTCTCACCTATAAAAGGGAGTAGCCGCTAGGAGTAGTGCGATTCAAAGAATCTCGATCTAAGCTTTCCGAAAACGTATCAGACGACGCTCAATTCAATGGTCCTCCAGCGGAGCAACTTTTAACAGTTGTCGATAGGGAACATTATAGTCCAGTCATTATAGCATAATTGAACCGAGAGAATCTACCCCAAACACCACAAAAAACGCGGACATGTGCTTCGCCTACTTAGTTTATTGTGAGCATTTTCAATGCACAAAATTAATTAATCTTTATCAAAATATTTAGTGGCAATCGGAGTATACCACCATGTAAAGTAGCTCCCGGGATAGAAAATCTCAAAAATGGCCCCAAAAAATGACCGATTTTTTTAACCTTGCAATTTGCAAGTTTATCTCGATTTACGTATTTATCTCCAAAACTATCAGCGTAATCGAAATGCCCCAATAAGGTAATATGTTGTAAATTGCAAGACCTTTAAAATAAAGTTTGAAACGTTTTAATTGGAGGTATTTTTATAGAGATAAACGAGAAAAACCCCTGAACAAAAGGTAATTTTGGAAAAATTCGTAACTTTTCTAATTTAATATTCCAACGTCGGCTTTCCGGGAAAAGGTAGTGTATCAAAGAGGTATTTTAAGCAATTATAATTTATTCTAACAAGTACTTTTGTATGAGCTAATTTAGCTCACTCGAATAACGTGTTTATCATGACTAGAGTTTCTTTACTTAGAGAAAGGTACACGATGATTTAATTACAAAATATATACTTGTATGGAAAATATACTGCCTAAAAATAAATAGATTTTATTGCATATATTTTCTGGTATGAAATAAATAAATAAAACGAATGCAAAAGTCACTAGTCATAATAATTGAAAAAACTCTTTAATTTAATGATGCCCACATGCATGTACATATTCGGCCACTAGTCTGAGTGTGCGCTACTAGATTAACATCGAACGGTAAACCACGACCATATTCGTTTGTGCACATCACTCACGCTGTAACATTTTCTAACTGAACGGACAATGTAGTCCAGGCAAATTATATTTTTGGGTGGAAAAGTTTGGACTTTAATTTTTGCATGTAAATTAGTAAAAAATTACGTACATCATTAATAAATGTGTATAACTTTTTTCTGTTAATGTTAGCGAAAGAAATTACCACTTTTTTGATAAGGATAAGGGAGGTCCGAATTTTCAAAGCGATAAATTTTCTTCAATAGAGAGAAAAAGCGATTTCTTTCGTGTCAACTTTTAAGAGAGAAACTCGGCTATCATTGCAGTGAAATTTTGGAAAAAGAAGCCTTTTTTTATAGTTATCATTCCTCCTAAAATTATATTCCGATCGAATAGATAGGTGACCAAGAATTAATTTGCTAATAAATAAAAATTATAAATTTCATAATGCTACCAAAAGTTAATTATTCATCCATTATCATCTGTGCTCACAGAGAATATGCAGGAAGTGTAGCTCTATTATATTCAATCATTAAAATTATATTTTTAAATTATTTAACGTTATTTTTAGCTATCTGTTTGTAAACTCGATTTATAGGTAAGATACCTTTATTGGTCCTAAATAAATGTTTTCTTAATACATTTCCATAATCTTTTTATAAAACTGTCAAAAGTTAGTTTGCAAAGAAGTAGTCAAATATGTACCAAAGTTTCCGAATAAATGCAAAAACGAGATAAAATTGTAAACTGCAATGCTTAAACACTGTTTTAAGAAACTGAAAATATTTGTAAGGCCATTTTTAATATTTTATACTCTAGAATAGCGGTACCAATTTTTTTTGCTACGGAACCCTTTTTGATTTATCCTTTCTTGGCGGAACCCAATATCGACAAAAAGTGAAATGACTGCAGCGTATTTATCTTTAGGTTCGACATAAGGTTATTCAAATTTGAATCAGCTGATTCGAATTTTATTAATATCTATCAAAAGCTCATTCCGACATAATTAACATTGATGGTTTATTCTGTTTTTTTTGTTCAATACATTCAATCTAGAAGCCAAATTTGTTTGTTGTCGTTAGAGATAGATAGTTATTTTGTATCTCACTGTAAACGTAGTTGTGGTTCCTCCCTGTGAGGACCTACTGACTACGTTAAGTTTATCGAATATACCTACCGACCAAATAAGCCAATTTCATTATCCATTTCTCATTATGCAATAGTTCGACATGACTAACGGATGTAAAAATTGGTNAATTAGAAAACCAACTTTTACAGGTAGGTGATCTAATAGTAGGTAATTATTTATGACTTGATAAGCAGTAATATAAATTATAAAAAAAGATATAATTGCAATATAATGGGCAACAAGTATGAAAATATTGATGTAATTTTACAGTTTTTATATTTCAGTATGTACAGGATATCTTCCGGTGACGATCCATTTTAATATTTCAGAAACTACTTCGAATTATGTTTCGCGGGTGCTCTCTTTAATAAAATAATAATATTCTTGTAGCACTTTAGCACCGGTTATGCCGGAAGTTACCATCACGGAACATTCTGTATATTTTTCAATTTTCAGAATCTACGTGTTATTTGGAGGGACGTTTATAAAGATTCTCCATGTCTAAGTCTACTAGTGTTAGAGGTATTTTAATTTTATAAAAAAATGTTCTTTCATTGTATAACTCAAAATTGCATATTTCATATATTCTGCTAGCTGAAGTGTTGAAGAAGAAGATAGGGGAATACCCATTGTTTATTACAGTTACGTGAAAAGTTGTTTAGTACTTTAGAAATTTAATTATGAATTTGAGTAAATTGGAACCATCAAAACTTTTTTCTCTTTTAGTTTTTCTGTTATTTACGTTTTTTATTATAAGTAACTAAAATGGTCGAATTGATGACGAAGATAGCTATGGAATTGCTAGCAAACATGAAAACAAACAAAAAACAATAGATTTGTTATCACTTGCTGTTATTAGTGGTAGTTAACTATTAATTTAAAAATCATGAAAAACAATACGTATTTTTTTTGCCACCAATGACTAGAAAGAAATTAAGCAGAATTTTAAGGAACTAGTTATAATATGGTCTAATTAGGACGCCAGTAACTTCCAGCCAAGATAATATAATCAATGTTTTGGCATAATTTAATGCTTATCCAGTATCATAAAATTGTTCTGTCGAATATGATTTAGGTATTTCACGATTTCCATCCATAATATACTGAAACCTAATAATATACATCCAAATAAGTTCAAACTTTTCTCTACCGTCCGAATTGAAGAAGATCCACAATTTTTGCAAAATATAATATGGACAGACCAGAGAAGGCATTTTTGACAGGCAGAATATATGTATCATCCGGGTGAGGAATTTTCAAAATAATTTTGTCTGGTTAAATACAATCAAATTTTTAGAATTCTTTCCGCACTTATTCGACTATATTGTAATTGATTCCTTAAAATTCTTCTTAATTTGTTTCTAGTCATTTCGGAAATTTGGGGTATCCCTCACTAAAAGTAGGTACTGCGTGTTCTGTTTATAATTTCACTGCATTGCCCATGGTTAAATAATAAATTTAAAACATCAGCATTTGTATACATATCGTTTTCCATAATGTTAAAATTAATAGTTAACTTCCACTAACAATAGCAAGTAATAACAAATCTATTGTTTTTTGTTTATTTTCAAATTTGCTAGTAATACCATGCTATCTTCGCTATAGTTTCGACCATATTAGTTACTTACAATAAAAGCGTAAATAACAGAAAAACTAAAAGAGATGGGTATAGGGAAGTGTGATACCGCTAAATAAAGGGAAAAATTCTACAACTGAATCTAAAAATACGCAATTTTGAGTTATTCAGTAAAAGCACATTTTTTTATAAAATTGAAATAGCTCGAACACTAGTAGACTTAGACATGGAGAAGCTTTATAAACGTCCCCCAAAATAACTCATGGGTTTACTTTATTTAAAGAGAACACTCCCGAAAATTTGGACCCTAAAATTTTAAAACTTGATTCAAAGTAGTTTCTGAAATATTGTAATGGGCCGTCACCGTAAGACACCCTGTATATGTTCCACGAATTTGCCACAATCGGCTACTCACTGGTGTCGCAAATATTTTGGCTTCGAGTTTTTTTTATCAGAAACAGGTACCTTTACGTTATTTATTGAACAAAGCAGAATTTAATGCATTGTGAACTTTATAACTTACGCAAGGCATAGGTTCATTTAGCTATATTGGCACCGTTCCTGATCTTTTTAATAAAAAATTCGAAAACTCGCCTTGTAAAAACTATTAAAGATAGTTCGATTTTTTTTTAATTCTATTATTTCATGTTCTAGGACTACCCTTATGGAAAATAATTGAAAAAAGTATTTTTATTGCGAAATTTTTTTTAAAATTTTGTAGTAAAATTACTACAGCGAACAGATGTATGATAAAATAAACACTAATTTTAATTTTAGACTGAATTCTGATCGTGAAATAAATGTTTCAGGTGAAACGGTAACAAAATGAATACATTCCAAAACATAAAAATCATATTTTAATATTAAAAAGAAAAATGTGTTTTTCATTATTATCTATTGGGTTAGCACAGTTATGAAATAAGAAATCTTTAAAACAGTTTTACTGTCTCCCCCTCGCAAACAATCTACTCCTCTCCTTTCAATTTGCAACTTTTTCTCCAGAACAGATCAAAATACTACAACTATTACAGGTACCATTATAAACACATTCAAAATTCAAAATATTCGTTATGCAGAATATGGCGGCCAGTATCTTGAGTACCCACTCCCTTGAGTGCGACTGGCGCAGTACAATGACTGCAAACATTTTTATAAAATAAACTTTTCTTTGTGCACCCCTGACAAACCAGAAAAATTGGATTCGATTAATGCCTAGAAGTATTTTTTATCAAAATTACCTCATCTTCATACTCATTCCACTGGAGTATACTTGCAACTCGTTCGGTATACATGGTTGCCATTTTAGGCACTTGGATGACATGTCGCACTCGCTTTGGCCATGTGCTAATACGTTCGCGTGCGCTATGTCAACTGTACCTCATTCGTTACACAATGTAGGTACCATTTTTTCGTCTCTCAAAGGTCAACTTATCGTATCATAAACTGCTGATGATTGGGAACGTTGCTCTAATTTCTAAGGGAATCAGAGCGACATTTCCAGCCATAAACTAACCTTTAAAAAGGCGAAAAGAGAATATAATGAAAGTTAACGTTTGGCTGTACGGGTATTTGTATTACGAAAAGCATCGTGTTTATTCGATGGTTGTAATAATTTTCCTTTATGGGTTTTCTAATTTGATCAGAATGCTACCTAGGTTTACAACAAAAATTTCGGTCAGTAGCCGATTTTGGGAATTACGTGGGTACAAAAACAATAAGTACACGTTTTTCTTCATTTTCCAGATGCAACAGTTATCACCACCTGGATCAGTCTCTTCTACCGGACAAACTCTAGTAAGCTTAGTGCCTACATTACAACCAAATACTGTTTTTACACCAAACTCGATTAACGCAGCTCCTATCTTTAATACAAATCCTCGCTATTATTCCAAAATACCATCTCAGATACTAGTGCCGCTTGTAACAGCCAAAAATATTACCCTAAAAATTTTCAGTAATCTTGTATTCTCCCACAAAAAAACCAACGGTCTCTTAAATGAAATCAGATATGCCATTCAAACAAACAATATGCCATTGCTTTTAACTATATTGAGAAATTATCCAACTAATTTCTTAAATGCAGACGATAAAAAACTGATTAGCCTTTATTTGTCCAAAGTAAATAAAGGCATGCTAAGTATATACGTACAACTGAAACATCAAAGTAATGTGATCCAATATCTTTTAACACATATCAAGAATGCAGAAAATATGTATGACAGATTACCAGTTCAGTGTAAATTACATGCTTCTGATGTCAATTTGAATCAACCTGATAAACTTGCTGATTTTCTAGAAACAAAGATTCAGAAACTGAATGCAATTATTAAAGACAAAACTAATAGAATACAAGAATTGCAGGACTTTGCATTTAAGATGTATAATTCTAGAATTAATCCATATTCCATCTGCACGTTTAAAAAACCTCAGGGTGATTTTTGTGCAAATGAAAATTATATTTGTGTTCCGAAAACAAATTGCACTTCACAAGAAATTTCAGGAACTCATTTATACAAAAACGGAATACCTGAAAATTCTTCCAAATTTGATGATAGTGGTTCTACTTCTAATATCCCAAGAAAATGTCCACATGTTAGAACGATTTACATAACCGTACCGAAAATAATTCCCAATCACTGTAGTCATACAACCAAACCAGAATTGCCTAAAAGACCGTCATTATATTCCAAGCAAAATCCATTGCCCAAGATTATATATATACCGGTACCGCAAAAACCAAGAGTAGTTATTAAAGAAGTAGTCGTACCTGTTCCGGTAGGCTCAAATAATGAATCAATTAAGTATCATTTACTTCCTAAAGAAAAAGACATAGTTGGTAAACCGTCACTACCGCCACCACTGGTTATTAATAAATGTCCTCCAAGTTCACCTTGGATATCTCCTAAAGTGGTTGTTAAGAAAATTTTCATTCCTGTTCTTCCACGTAAAGACTACACTCAAAACGGTTTACTGCATAATTTAGACTATAATACTGATTTCGATTCGAATAAAAACAAATTTTTGGGCGTTACACCATTTGATTCATTTAAACCTATTACCCCTCATATGACCACTTTGCATGAAAAAAACAAATGTCCGTTGACTAAAACTGTTTATATTCCCATACCAAAACTAATTCATAAACAATGTTCTACTCTGCGAACTCCTAGGGTTGTAATTAAAATTGTCCAAGTACCTTGTTCAAAGGACTCGAAACGACCAAATCTATTGAGTTTTAAACAGCAACCATTCACGAGACCTGTTTTTGTTCCAGTTTTGCAACGGCCAATTGTTATAGTAAAAAAAGTTTTCCTAACCTCCCCTCCTGGTGTAAGTACGAACTCGCTTGATAATCAGTTACAGTTGACAAATGCAAATCAGATGAAAAAGAACACACCATATTTGTCTTTTATCAGTAAATATTTAACACCTACAAGTAACAAATACCCTACACAGAGATGCCCCGACGTAAAAACCATATTTGTACCATCTGCGAGTGTAAAGTGTCCTCAAGTTAAGACAGTTTACGTGCCTGTTCCTAAAAACAATTGCCAAAAATGTCCTTCTATACCGACAACATATTACCATCAACCGCAGATGTTTGAAAAATATTCCCTTCCAAATGTTGCACATTCTCCTAAAGTCATTATTAAAGTAGTTCCAGTTCGAATGCCACACTCGCTTCAACATTCAAACCGGCCAAATCTTAAAGAATGTAAGCAATTCACAAAAAAGATATACATTCCTGTCCCTCAGCGGCCAAAAGTAATTATAAAAAAGGTTCCAGTTGTCTTACAACCAGGCATTAAAATCAACTCTGACCAAAGTCAATTGGGTTCGAAAACGCTAGATGTAACATTAAGACCAAAACCGTTACCTACAATTGTTATTAATAAGAGTCCATACGGTGAGACACCTAAAAATTTAAAAATTCCAACAAGAACAATAATCATTCCAAAACTAGCAAACAATAGAATCTCTAAACAAAAATGTCCTTTTGTGAAGCCGGTCTTTATTTCCGTTCCCTATTGTAAAAAAACAGCAAGTGAAGGGTTGAGTAAAAATATAAACTTGCCATATCGATATATTCAACTACCACCCAGAGTACTAGTTAAAAAGGTTATGGTTCCCGTGATTCTTCCCCGCAGGACAGTGTACAGAAACTGTCCCAAAGGGGCTAACTTATTTAATTTAATGCCAGGTTCTAAAAACAATTCAAATCTGGGCATTATTCCGACAGTTCCTCCACCTAAATCTACTATTTCGCACTTATTGTCCCGTATATGTCCCGCAACTAAAACTGTATATATTCCAATTACAAAGTTTGTTCGCAATAAATGTCAGCAGCCTTTACAACCTAATTTCGATATTAATCAATCTGAGCTTACCCCACGTTCTCCAAAAGTTATAATTAAAGTGGTTCCAATCCGTGTTCCTGACGTCAGGCATTGCATAAAACCTATACCAAAAACTAAATGGCGCCCACCTGTGAAAACTATATTTGTACCTGTATCTCAGAGGCCAATATTTATTATTAAAAAAGTGCCTGTAACGATTTTACCTGGTTTAAAAGACGCATTATTTGGAAATCAAGCACACCCCAAATTAGAAAGTAGTAAAATAAAGCCGAAAATATTCGCCCCACCTCCAGTTGTCCTCAATAAATATTCATACCCCAAGACTGCGTTTCCGAAATGTCCAACGAAAACCATTATTGTGCCAATGTCACAATCAATTAAAAATAGATGTCCGATTCTGAAATGTCCGATTTCAAAACCAGTGTATGTTTTCGTGCCGTCTAGTAAATTAAAAAGTAATAAACCATCTGAATATAATGATAAGAATCAGCCTACTGAATTTATTCGAAAACCTCCAAAAGTAATTGTCAAAAAAATTGCAGTGCCTGTTGTTGTTCCTCGTAAAGTTATTTATAAAGAATGTCAAAAATTACGGAATTATAAAGGAGGTATATCTAATATAAACGATAACATTTACCCTAAAGTAGGTATTGGCTCCCCATCTTATTTGTCGAAACCTACTAATCCTAACACGCTTTTCTCCAACTCACCTAATAGGTGCCCTAAGGTCAAAACAGTTTACATTCCAATTCAGAGAGTTGTCCATCATAATTGTGCAATTTCACCGAAAACAAAATATTTAACAAAACCTGGTTCTTCTGTGAAACCTATTCCTGGCAATAACAAACCCTTCAAAGTTTTGAATTCTCCCAAAGTAGTTGTTAAAATAGTTCCAATCCGAGTTCCTTATATCCCTAAGAATCTACTGAAAAGGATAGACCGTAGACCGTGTGCAAAAACAAGAACGGTATTTGTTGCTGTCCCTCAGCGACCAAATATTGTTTTTAAAACTCCTGTTGGTACTCATACTAAATTTCCAAATACCGGATGGCAACCTAAAGTATCGATTCCACCTCCAATTGTTGGTAACAAATATTCACCACATAAAACACCCGTGAATTCGATTATTTCACCTTTACTTAATTTAGCCAATGGAAATGGAAATGTATTAAAACAAAAGTGCCCAAGTGTAAAACCTATCTTTATACCCGTATCACATTGTAAAAAACCAGTGATGGGTACATTAACAACAGATAGGAAGCATTCTCAATGTACGCAAATGCCACCAAGAATCATAGTTCGGAAAATGTTTATTCCAATTGTGCCTTTTAGAACAACCCCTAAAAGTTTAAATGGAGGTTTTAACTTACCGAATTCGTTTAAACCCAGGAATGTTCACATATCGCATTCTTTCTTGCCTAAAAAGTGCCCTAATGTGAAAACTGTATATGTTCCAGTTCCGAAATTGATTCAAAGTAAATGTAAAAGTCCAAATTATTTATTTATGCCGAGAAGTTCACAGCCGTCTCATTCTAAATTCCACATAACAACTGAAATTCCACCTTCCCCTAAGATTATCGTTAAAGTAGTTCCGGTGCGAGTACCATATGCGACTCAGATGAAAGTAAGTCCAAGTTTAGAAGAATGCAAGCATAGGCCAATTGTGAAAACCGTATTTGTACCGGTTTCTCAAAGACCCAGGGTTATTGTGAAGGAAGTTCCTGTAGGTTCTTCATTGGGTTTATGCCGGGGGTTAATTGGAAATCAGCTGGATTTAAAAAAACAAAGAACGTTTATGCCACCACCTGTTATTGTTAACAAATACCCATCTTCCAAATTAATTAAATTTCCGAGAATTCCAACCAAAACAATTATTATACCACAAAAGAAAGTGAATAAGGAGTGTCCTGTACAGAAATATCCTACTAAAAAAGTCATCTTTGTACCTGTGCCTTTTTGCAAGGGATTAAAGAGTGGGCCACCTAAACCAGAATCTGTTAAGAACTATCCTACTCAAATTATTCACCTACCACCTAAAGTACTTGTTAAGAAAGTTCCAATTTTTGTTACTCTTCCAAGAAAGATAGTATACAGAGAATGCAGTTTGCAATCTAAGAAAAATGGAAAGACTGGTCCTATGAATAACAATACACATCCTTTTGCACCTTTCTTATCATATTTGCCGTTTAAGTCTCGTACACCTTCTGTTCAAAATCAGAAATGTTCTGCAGTCAGAACAGTTTACGTTCCGGTTTTGAAATTCATTCGCAATAAATGCACATTTACACCGAAGCCCAATTATTTCATAAAACCCAACTTCTCCCAATCACATCCATCCGACATCCACGGATTATCTGGTGTTTCTGATTCTCCAAAGGTAATTATAAAATTGGTTCCTGTTCGAATGCCTTTCTCAACTCAAGGAACCGTTCGGCCGAACTTAATCGAGTGCAAGCACAGGCCAATTATAAAAACAGTGTTTGTGCCAGTTTCTCAGCGTCCAAAAATTATTGTAAAAAAAGTTCCGATAGCGGTAACATCAAATTCATGTACTGGATTAACTAAAAATCAATTATATCCTAAAGTAAATCGAAAAGATCAATTAAAAATGTCTGCCCCATATTTAAATGGAATAAGAGGTAATTTTTCTCCAAAGATATTGAAGTTTTCAAAACTTCCCATGAAAACCGTTTTTGTACCTATAATAAAATATATAAAAAATAAATGTCCCGTTCAACAATGCCCGATTGGAAAACCAACCTTCTTCTTTCCTAAAACCGAAAAGCAACCTCTTCATATTATTCGATTACCGCCAAGAGTAATTATTAAAAAGATTGCAGTTCCTGTTATTCAACCTAACAGGGTAGTTTATAAAGAGTGTAAAACTCAACTTGCTGTAGATTCATTAAAAAAGAAAGATAAATACCCAAGTCTACACTTTACTAGACCAAATTTTATATTTAAACCAACCTTTACTGGTACAACGCCTTCGTTATTTAACAGGTGTCCAGTAACAAAAACAGTTTATATTCCAATACCCAAAGTAATTCATGGTAAATGTACAAAATCCCCTAAATTCATTATAAAGGTACCTCCTTCGATTAGAATACCATATTTAAGTCAAGACACAGTTCGTCCAAGCTTAAAGAAATTCTTTAATCGGCCAATAATAAAACGTATATTCGTGCCGGTTCCTCAGAGACCTAAGATTATTATAAAACAAGTTCCTGTGACTTCTTCGACAGGCTTATGTGTCGGGTTAAATAAAAATGCATTACTTCCTGATTATAATAACGTGAAAAAAATGAAAACATCTTTGCCTTTCCAGTTTTTCACTAATAAATATCTATATCCTAAATCAGTTAAGTATCCGAAAATTTTGACGCGAACTATTATTGTACCAAAAACGAAACTGGTTTTCAGGAAATGTCCTGTTCCAAAACAATCGCCCGGAAAACTTATCTTTGTACCGGTACCGTTCTGTAAAAATTCATTCAAAACGCATAAAAGTAATGCTTGCTCCGCTCCTCAAATTATTCGCCAACCACCCACAGTGATTGTTAAAAAAGTCCCAGTTTTTATTACTTCTCCACGAAAGGTAGTCCACAAAGAATGTAAATTCCCTTCTAACAAAAATGCCGAAAAATCCATCATTGATGACACCACACCATATTATTCTCATGCGTTACGTTTTCCTCAGACACAAAAATGCCCTACGACGAAAACCGTTTACGTCCCTGTTACGAAATTCATTCGCAATAAATGCACGATCCCATCAATTTACAATCGCCTGATAAAACCTATCTTTTCCCAACCTCATCATTTAAATAGGTTATCTGGCGCTTCTTACACTCCAAAAATATTCGTAAAAGTAGTTCCTGTTCGAGTACCTTATTCGACACAGAGAATAGTTCGTCCAAATTTATTAGAATGTAAGCACAGACCTGTTACAAGAACCGTATTTGTGCCAGTCTTTCAACGTCCAAAGATTATTGTAAAAAAAGTTCCAGTATTATCACGGTCGTGTGAAAGCTCATCTCCGATAATTACTAATGAGTATCAACCTTCTAAGGCATTTCCAAAACTTCCGATTGGAGTAACCACTCCAATAATGAAACATACAGCTAATAAAATTCCTATTCAATTTATACGATTACCGCCTAAGGTAATTATTAAGAAGGTTCCAGTTCCTATTATTTATCCGCCAAAAATAGTTTATAAAAAGTGCAATATTCCTTCTAACGCGAATGCAAAACTGAATAATGGAAACAATTATAACCGTCACAATGTTCATTTCGGTCTACCATTATTTCCACATACTCCACAAACATTGCCATTGTTATCGTCAAACAAATGTCCTTTGACTAAAACAGTATATGTTCCATATCCAAAATTAATTCGAAATAAATGTTTTGTAGTACCACAATCAAATAATGCAATAAGGAATGGCTCTATTCACCCACTTCTCAGTGGAAATTCTAAGCAACGCCCTCCGAAGGTGATTATCAAAACTGTTCCTGTTAAAGTACCGTGTTCGACACAGGGAATAGCTCGACCAAATTTATTAGAATGTAAACACAGACCTCTTACAAGAACCGTATTTGTGCCAGTCTTTCGACGTCCAAAGATTATTGTAAAAAAAGTTCCGGTATTATCACAGTCGTGTGAAAACTCATCTCCGATAATTACTAATGAGTATCAACCTTCTAAGGCATTTAAGTTTCCGAAACTTCCGATTGGAGTAACTACTCCAATAATGAAACATACAGCTAATAAGATTCCTGTCCAATTTATACGATTACCGCCTAAGATAATTATTAAAAAGGTTCCAGTTCCTATTATTTATCCGTCAAAAATAGTCAATAAAAAGTGCAATATTCCTTCTAACACGAATGCAAAACTGAATAATGGAAACAATTATAAACATCACAATGGACATTTTGGTCTACCATTATTTCCACATACTCCACAAAAACTGTCATTGTTATCGTCAAACAAATGTCCTTTGACTAAAACAGTATATGTTCCATATCCAAAATTAATTCGTAATAAATGTTTTGTAGTACCACAATCAAATAATGCAATAAGGAATGGCTCTATTAAGCCACTTCGTAGTGGAACTTGTGAGCAGCACCCTCCGAAGGTGATTATAAAAACAGTTCCTGTTCGAGTACCATATTCGTCTCAGAGTATAGTTCCTCCAAATTTATTAGAATGTAAACACAGACCTCTTACAAGAACCGTATTTGTGCCAGTCTTTCGACGTCCAAAGATTATTGTAAAAAAAGTTCCAGTAGCATCACAGTCGTGTGAAAACTCATCTCCGATAATTACTAATGAGTATCAACCTTCTAAGGCATTTAAGTTTCCGAAATTTCCGATTGGAGCAACTACTCCAATAATGAAACATACAGCTAATAAGATTCCTGTTCAATTTATACGATTACCGCCTAAGATAATTATTAAAAAGGTTCCAGTTCCTATTATTTATCCGTCAAAAATAGTCTATAAAAAGTGCAATATTCCTTCTAACACGAATGCAAAACTGAATAATGGAAACAATTATAAACATCACAATGGACATTTTGGTCTACCATTATTTCCACATACTCCACAAAAACTGTCATTGTTATCGTCAAACAAATGTCCTTTGACTAAAACAGTATATATTCCATATCCAAAATTAATTCGTAATAAATGTTTTGTAGTACCACAATCAAATAATGCAATAAGGAATGGCTCTATTCAGCCACTTCGCAGTGGAACTTCTAAGCAACCCCCTCCGAAGGTGATTATCAAAACTGTTCCTGTTAAAGTACCGTTTTCGACACAGGGAATAGCTCGACCAAATTTATTAGAATGTAAACACACACCTGTTACAAGAACCGTATTTGTGCCAGTCTTTCAACGTCCAAAGGTTATTGTAAAAAAGGTTCCGGTATTTTCACGGTCGTGTGAAAACTCATCTCCGATAATTACTAATGAGTATCAACCTTCTAAGGCATTTAAGTTTCCGAAATTTCCGATTGGAGCAACTACTCCAATAATGAAACATACAGCTAATAAGATTCCTGTTCAATTTATACGATTACCGCCTAAGATAATTATTAAAAAGGTTCCAGTTCCTATTATTTATCCGTCAAAAATAGTCTATAAAAAGTGCAATATTCCTTCTAACACGAATGCAAAACTGAATAATGGAAACAATTATAAACATCACAATGGACATTTTGGTCTACCATTATTTTCATATAATCCAACTGCTCCTCACACATCATTGTCAAACAAATGTCCTTCTACTAAAACTGTTTATGTTCCATATCCGAAATTAATTCGAAATAAATGTATTGAAATACCACGGCCAAATAATGATATAAGATACGACTTTACTCAACCACTTCGCAATACTATTTGTAAGCAACTCCCTCCCAAAGTGGTTATAAAAACTATTCCTATTCGAGTACCCTATTTATCTCACTATCTAAAACACCCAAGTTTACCAGAATGTAAAAAACGCATAGTGACTAAAACCGTGTTTGTGCCGGTTCCTCAACGACCAAAAACTATTTTAAAAGAAATTCCTGTTTTTATGAACAAATTATACCCCAAACAAAGTCTTATTTCTAGACCTGTAAACTCTATGCCAGCACCTATTATTCTTAATAAATGTTTGTCTAAAGAAAACATAAAATCTCCGAAAATTCCTACTAAAACCATTATCCTAACAATTCCAAAGATCGAAAGTAGTAAGAGTTTGTCATCCAAATGTCCAACAGTTAAGCCAATCTTAATTCCCGTACCTTACTGCCAAAGGCTCCATCAAGCATCTAAACCATCTTATTCGCAAAATGTGCGACTGCCTCCTAGATTACTTGTTCAAAAAGTTTATATTCCTATTTTTCCATCTAAAGAAAATTGCATAAAGATACATTCGCGACCAACACCTCAAGAAAATACTGTTAAAGGTTTTCTTAAACCATTTAATCAAATAGCATCCATTTTGCCTCATAAATTAGAATCCATTCACAATAAATGTCCAGTGAAAACTGTTTATATCCCTGTTTCAAAATTGATTCGTAATAAATGTGTTAATTATCCTCCTAAATTTTATACTTCGCCGCCAAACTTTAACTTATTTAGGCCACAAAAGTCATTTAGTCCTGCGAAAGTAATTATTAAAGTAGTTCCGGTGAGGTTACCATGTTACCAAAGTTTAAAGTTACCGAAGTTTGTAAATAGTAAGCATAGATCAAATGCGGGCACTTTGCCTTTGTTTGTTAACCAGCAACCGAAAATTATCGTTAAACATGTCCCGAGAACAATTTTTGTGCCCATACAAAATCAACGATGCTCCAACGTTAAACCAGTTTTTATTCACCATATCTTGAAAGCCCCCAAAAAAGAGTCGTGTAAATGTACTACAAGTAACAACCAGCCAGTTAGAGTAATTCAGCTGCCACCAAAAGTAATTGTTAAAAAGATTTCTGTTCCTGTTATTCTTCCGAGGAAACTAATATATAAAAAATGTCCCACCTTACCACTTCTTAATGCGAAAAACTATCCTGCTGTAGGTTTAACTCCACACCCTTTTTCGTTTAATGTAAAACCTTCACCTTTCTCTCCTTTGATTCAGAATTGTCCTAAATCTAAAATCGTGTACATATCTGTTCCAAAACTAATTCACAGAAAATATCTAACTTATCCAAAGAAAAAACACTTTAAGTTACCTTCTTTGATACCAAATCTAAAATTACAAATACCTTCATCAATTTCGCATTCTCCTCCTAAAGTAGTTATTAAATTAATTCCCGTTCGAGTACCGTACGCATTTCCAGACTACAAAAGACAAAATTCAGCAGAGTGCAAGAAAGGTCGACTAACAAAAACCGTGTTTGTTCCAGTACCACAGCGACCAAAAGTTATCATAAAACAAGTTCCCATACTTATACATCCTTATACTAGTAAAATGTCAGTTGGAAACCAACACCCCAAGAAAGCTATAGAATCTCAACCCCCTCCAATTATTATTAAAAATATTCGTCCGTCAGCTGGGATTAAATTTCCTAAGTTACCAACGAAAGTTATTATTGTACCTAAATTAGTAAAGGAATATCTTTGGAAAAAATGTCCTAGAACAAAACCGATTTATATTTCCGTACCGTTTTGTAAAGAGACATCAAAACTATTAAATAGTAAACCATTTAACAATATTCAAGTACCACCGAGAGTGATTGTTAAAAAAGTTGCAGTTCCTATTGTTTTTCCACAAAAAGTAATATATAAAGAATGTAATCTTCAACGTGGTAATAATGTTAGAGTAGCTTTGAATGGTAAAAAGCAGCCTGGCGTATACTTCATTCCGCAATTTTCTCAGTATAAACCTCAGTTTAGTAAATGCCCTATTATTAAAACAGTTTATATCCCACTTCCAAAATTAATTCGCAGTAAATGTATAACTCCGCCTAATTTAACAATGCCCAGTTTCTCTCATTTACGTATTCCCAAGGTTTATAAACCACATGAAATTCCACATTCTCCTAAAGTAATAATAAAATTAGTTCCCATTCGAGTCCCATCTCCAACACAAATAATTAAAACAAAATGCTTAAATCAGCCAAATTTACGAATCATGTCACCTAAAGTTGTGATACAGAGACGTCCTATTTATATTCCCGTTCCAAAAATAATTCATAAAAAATGTTTTATGCCGGCGAAATCGACTGAAATTCATCAACCTTTCCCCCATTTCACCAATAATAGACAACATCCAGTAACAAAAATTATATATGTACCCATTCCTCAACGGCCCAGGATTATTATTAAAAAAATTGTTGTGCCTGTACAGCCTAAATTAAATATAGGGTTATCTAAAGGTCAGGTACGTCCCCACCAGCAAACTCTAGTTAATCTACTTAGAAAGCCTATTCCATCTAAAATAATTAATAAATGTCGTTCTGATAGTAATGTTAATCGTCCAAGAATTAAATATGTTCAGTTACCACCTAAAGTGGTTTCCAAAATAATTCACATTCCTGTTGTATATCCATGTAAAAAGGTTCACAAAAATTATCATCCAGTTGTTACTTTTAAGAATAAACCAGAGAGTGGGATTTTAAGTTATAATGTGAAAAAAGGACCGTTAAATAATTTAAAACCTCCAGTTAAGGTTGTCTATGTTCCTGTTCCAAAAATAATTCGAACAAAATGTCCACATTGTGATGTCCATCCTCACTATTCACCTAGAGACAAGAAAATAAACATTCAAAAACAACCCAAAGTAATCCCATTTAGAGTTAATGTTTTGCCTACCCAGTTATCTCGAAATTCTGTTCCATTATCGTCACACCCTCTTCAACATTGTCGGTTTGTGTTGGAAAAACAAAAGGGCCAAATAGCATTGCTGAAGAGGTTGTTAAACGGTGAAATAAAGAAATCCAATAAGCATTGCTCATGCGATTCACGACCATCGTTTAGCAAAATTCTTTATCCTTCAATGCAAAAAGAGAATCGTTGTACTAGCCCGAAGATAATATATAAATTACTTCCAATAATTAAGCCAGCAAAGACAGTAATTAAAGAAGTGAGGTTACCATTTTCCTCAAAATGTCCACCACAACCAATTTTACTTCATCGAGTCCCGGTTCCACCAGTAGCAGATGTAATTGAAAAAGAAAAAATTGTTCATTTACCCCCGAAGGTGGTTATAAAAACCGTTTTTGTACCAATTGTTAATGCTTCCAAATGTCCTCTTCCAAAACTGTTGTTACAGAAAGTTTTTATTCCCTTACCCAGCAGAATAATTATTAAGGAAGTTCCAGTTCATCATCCACCACGAATAGTAATTAAAGAGGTTCCTGTTATTAAACCTTTGCCACTCTCACAACCAAGTGTCAATCTTTATTCTAAAGGTAGCGTTTCGAAACCAAAAATTGTTTATAAGAAAATTCCAATTTTGCAACCACCACGAACGATTATCAAGGAAGTTCCCATTACATTACCCCCTCGAATTGTTTATAGGCCGATAGTTCGATCCCGTAAAAAGTGCAATAGTACTGTTTCAAAATTCAGTCATTTCGGTTCCATACTTAGTCACATTAGTCGAATAGAAAGTTCTTTAGAGTTACACAAGCGAATAATAGAGTATCAAAAAACAGAAATCTCGAATCTTGAACTGGAGATAGTAAAATTACTGAAAGATATCATTTCTTGCTCTAGTTACGCTACAGAATCAACAGAAAAGAGCCTTACTAATTATTATACGACCAGAAGTGGCATTATTTATAAACCTCACCGTCCTTTAATGACTAGGGATGAATGTATTAAAAAATTACATAAAAACGAGAATATAGTTTTACATCTTAGGAAAAAATTAAAGGATGCTAAAAAAGGAACAATTGCGAATTTCTTAATCAATCATCGTTTATTGCCAAATTATAAAAGAATTAATGAAAATAAACTGTCTGATTTTAAATTTGATTCGGCTCCTTTAAGGAATATTTTGCCTACTTTAAAGCTAGGATTTGGCACTAGTAAAAGAACACATCCTTCCTTGTTTCTGCATGGTTTTGCAACCACCCCAAGAGTAAACAATCAAAATAGCCATTCTCGTTCGTCACTTGCATGCGTTCCTAAGGAATCTCTTAATGAAATCTACACTGCCTACACACATATACAGACAGCTCTAACACACTGCATGAATTCTGCATTAATAACTAATTTTAAGCAGAATGGAAGCAGTGGTCGATACGGAAATGATGATAGAGATCAATTGATAGAAGAAAAGAAATTAGCCGAAAGTCAGATAGATTTCCTTAATTCTATTATTGTTGATATGCAAAAGAAAAATGCTGAGCAGAAAGCTAAAATAGAAATACTAGAAACCGGTTACAGTCCTGCAGCAGCAGATGAATTAAATTTGTGAGTATTTATTTAAAAAACCAGTAGTATATCAGTCTTAACTATTTACATGTACGATATTTCTTCAGAATGGGACTACCCCAACATAAAAGGCCTCCTCGAGCTTATTGTGATATATGTGAAGAGTTTGATTTGCATGAAACAGAAGATTGCCCTCTTCAAGCAACAGAAAATCATCCAAGCATTGATAGAAAAATATCTCCTCGGAAAGCACCACCACCTCCCAGACCTTACTGTGAAATTTGCGAAAGTACGTATGTTTCTGTTAAATTTAATTTAGACAAGGAAAACACTTGTTTTATTAATAAAAGCAAAGTAGTATATATGAAGCACATGAAGAAATTATTGTCTTTGCTTGATAGAGGTTAATAATTTGTTAAACATTAGTTTTTGAATGTTAGTATTCTATTCTCTACAGATTACCTCAATAAAGAAAAATTGTTACGGCTGTCACACTTTCGCCGGGAATCGAATTCGAATATTAACAACATCTATTCTCTCTTCCCTTCTGCATATTTGAACGTTTTATTTTTCTCAAAACTTTCCCTTTTTTCACTTATCTACGTCTTTTCTTTATCACATGACCAACATTTAATCCCTTGTTCTTCCATTCAATTAGTTGTTCCTTACTTATCCTCATTTCCTCTACAGCCAGTCTTATCCTTTTCCTCGTCATATCTGTTTCTCATACCTTTTCTTATTTTTTTTTATGTATCTCTTTCTTTATATCATCGTCTTTTAATTTTTCCAGCTTTTACTTATATCTGATCACTCTTTTTCTTGCTTCTTCTACCATTTCTCCACATTTCGTTTCTCTACCCACTATGTGTGCTTCATTCTAAAGTTAAGACCTACTTATGTAGTATCTTTTGCAAATTTTCTACTCGTATTTTTCCACCCCTATATTTCAACCCCATAAAACATAATACTTCTTATAGCTGCATTAAACGTCATCCTTCTTTCCCAATTATTTTTACGTAACTTCTGTCCTATCAACTAAATTCTCCCTAAAATTGCAATTGCTTTGCACATTGATTTTCTATATGTATCTCATCCTTATTATTTTCCCCAATAGGTACTCCAAAATTATAATTCTTGACTTTTTCCAATTTTTTTCCTTTCCAAAATAAGTCCTTGGCTTCACTTTTTTTTTCTTCTGGATCGTCTTTTTTTTTCTTCCTTCACTTTTTGCTCAATATTTTTTTTAATACTTCTCTCTTCTACTTCTATTTTAGATCCCTTTTTTTATTTGGTATTTTTTCTTCCTAATATTTTGTCTTCGCTCCATTACTTAGTTAGTTCCAAAATTTTAACTTCTACTTTCACTTCTTTTCTTATGAATTCCTCCAATTACATCCTCCAGTCTCCTTCTCCCATTTCTATCCGAAATGCTACTATATTTAATTTCATTACTTTTTTTTTAACTATTTCTAATTCTCTTTCAATATAAATTAGTCTTTTATCCTGTACGTTTATCACTATCTTTCCCTCTTCTTTCCTCATAACTTCATTTATTTCTTCTTTCACCGTATTCTTTACTTCTCCCCTCATTTTTTCACTTTCATTTATTATCCATTCCTTGCAGCTATTTACATATTCTTTTTCTATTTCTTCTATTTTACCTAATAATTCTTTTCTCGCAAAGTATAATGCAACATTTCCTTTCAACTGATACAGGAGTTTTTGAGAAATTTGCAATTTTTTTGAAATTCTCAAAAATATCGTGTTATCACATAAGCCATTTTAAAAAGTTTGATGAGTTTGTTTCGTTTTATTGTATTACTTTATTGTTGTGTAAGGGATACCTAATTAATTAATTAATGCTACTTTGATAGCGCAATGGTAAAAGCATAAAACCAAAGGTGCCGGGTTCGATTCCCGGCGAGGGTATGACAGAGACAATTTTTCGTTAGCAAAGAATAGTAATTCAAAAAGTAATGTTTAGCAAAGTAGTACTTGTTTCCTATAAAATGGTTTGTTATGATCAATGTAAGTACTTGCAATTAATAGACCACTACCTGGTAAAATTATTTCCTCCTACAGTTAAAAATAAGTTGGCAGTTATAGGGACTGTCGAAAGAAGTGAACTTTTAGTATTAAAATTTGAAATTTCACAATGTTTTAATAAAAATTATGAACATCAATCTGATTTTCACATCTATTGACACTCCGAGCAACAATTATATGCATGTTTATATGGTTTTTTATTACTCAAATATTTACATAAATTTCAACATCAGTAATGTCAACAATTTTCTGTATAGATGCAGATATACTTACATATATACAGCTACAAGCATGTCGGTGACGCGAACGCACTAGATTTCACCATCCAAAAAGCGTCTAATGCCTACAGCACACGGCCGCTGCGCGTGCGCTAGTCGTAAGCATGTCGGTGACGCGAACCAATAACATTTTCCCCTGTCAAAAAGTGCCCAACGTCGCTAAAGAAGTTTTTACTTCAATAAAAAATAGGTATCATGAAAATTTTCTAGAGTGGTAGCTAATGCAAGTTGAAACTTATCTCTAATTTTTCACGAAAATAAAACAAGTTTTAACAAAAATATGTTGTATTTAAGACAATAATATTTGTTTCGCCATACAGTGGCATCATCAGGGAATGAACTATTATTATAGAAATACATATTATATTTAAGCTTTAATAGGCGCTAGGCATGCTACTGTAGGTAACTTTTTAGTTTGATTTTAAAAGAGCTGTAGAATTTACACCGTTATACAGACGAAAAATACTAATCTTTCTAGTCTCTAATATACACTCTCTAATGAATGTACACTACTGTTTCTCTTAATTTGAAATGTAATTGTCCTTATAATGTGTACATCAAAAAAGCCCCTTTGAAAGCTGATTGATTTACCCCCTTGTTTAATATTTGGTTAACATCCAATTTTTTTTCAGTTTTTGGACATTGCACTGAAGATTGCAAAGACGACCAGACATACTGATTAAGTACAGCATTGTTAGAAAAAAATTATACACTTGGCAAGTGTTTATATATTCGAAATTAACAGTTTTGTAAAAAATATTGTACGTGATATTATAAGTTAAATTTATTGTGATTTAGTTTTACCGTAAGCAGTTATATAAATAAAGTATATATTTTTCATAAGATGCGTTTAATTAACAAATTTTAAGAACAGTTCTCATTAATATTTATAGTACCAACCTTTCCTTTAATTTCAATTTCATTTCATATAAGGTTCAGTGGTGTTAAATAATTAAAAAGTCATTACAAAACATAAATTTATTAAATTTAATATAAACTAATCCAGTCCTTCCTTTTTTTCCTTAATCGCCTCCTAAAAGATCAACAACAAATAAGTACTTACAATTAGATATGTCGTAGGCATATAGCAGAATTTTATATGTATAACTGCGAGACATTAAGAAAATGGCATTACATGTTGTAAAACATACAAATAAGAGGAGAAATTTAAAATTATAACGATTATACTTTATAAAATTCCTGATTGTGCTACTATGCCTATGACAGACAGATATATACAAGGTGTTTTCCTTAATCGCCTCCTAAAAGATCAACAACAAATAAGTACTTACAATTAGATATGTCGTAGGCATATAGCAGAATTTTATATGTATAACTGCGAGACATTAAGAAAATGGCATTACATGTTGTAAAACATACAAATAAGAGGAGAAATTTAAAATTATAACGATTATACTTTATAAAATTCCTGATTGTGCTACTATGCCTATGACAGACAGATATATACAAGGTGTTTTCATAAACATACATACAAACTAAAAACTGCAGATGCATATTATCAAGGGTTCTTCAAGCTGAGAGGTACGTTAGACGTTTTAGAAAAAAGCATGCTAGAGATTTAAAAATTTGGCCGGTTGATGTCAGCTTTACTATTTTAAATGGAATAGTAGTTCTTACGACAAATTCGTATAAACATTAAATTTTAAGATTTTTAACTTTGATAACTAATTTGTATGCCTACGATGAATAATTCCTGAGATAATTTAATTTATAGAAAAAAATCGCTACTGCAAGAAAACATAACTTCCACAAAAAATAACTTGCGAGTGGTGAAATTTTTACCAATCAAAATCGTGTTTTAAGGCTAAAGTTATGTTAAAAGTGAGCTTCATAATTTGCACTGGAAATTCAGATAAAAAATCAGTTTAAAAACTTCAAACGAGAATAATTTCGTTTTTTACCACATTTATTTTGCCATCAGATTTCTCTTTTTATTCTCGTTCGATCCATCCGGATGTTTTTTTTTTAATGTTTTATTTGAAAACTTGAATAATTTTGGATTTTTATCTAAAATAGATGATTTCACTGCTGCCGCCCTTCCACAGTTATTAATCAAAACCTCATCTTTCGTTTTTTATGTTACAAAAATGATAGAACACGAATAATCCCATTCCGATTTCATTAATTTACCTATTCTGTGTTTACGTATTAAGCAAGCTAAATTATAGAAGGAATGTGCAGAAAATTTAATCAACTGTATCCCCATTTAGGTATTTTGAATACCCGAAAAGGCAGAATTAAGAGGAACTTGACGGAATTTGGTTCTTTTCCAGTTGTACATCTTAACGTGTTACTGGAGATGAAAACAACAAAGTTAATGTTGTTGCATTCTTTGTTGCAAACCAATGTGTTTTTATGAATATACAGTTCATTTGGGCCTAATCGTAAGATACGCATCAATTGAAAGAATATTATGAAAAGGTAATATGCATACCTATAAGTTTACCAATGATTAGAATCTCCATCCACAAGATTCTCTATAACACAGAATAACTTAAAAAATCTAAATTGAAGTATTCGTCTTCCATCATTTTTGTCGCTGTCGATTGTTCGGCACACTTTTGTTATGCCAAAATTAGTAAAATTATCTATTTTAGAGAAAAATCAAAGATTACTCAAAATTTTTCAAATAAAACAATAGAAAACATTTAAAAGGGAATAGACAAGTCATTTTTTATAGAAGTTATGAGTGTACAGAAACGTGCAAAAACGTAATCCATCCATAGCATAACCTAATTTAATAAATATACCTATTTTGTCACATTCCGGTGAACCAAAATGACATGAACCCAATTTACTTTCGTGTTGTCATATCCTACTATAACCTTACGATACAAACCCAACAGATCTTTAGCCAAAGGTTATTTTAGAAAAAATAAATAAAAATGAAACATATTTACAATCAGCTTAGGGTAGGTTGTAGTTTTTTTCTCAAAAATACACATCTACTCTATATACACATATACTTATGTTGAACACACTAAAAAACTTGCTTATACAAATTTTTATACGATTTGAAGCTATTCCATATATAAAAGTATGATCAGTAAAATTATAATTGCATGTACAATTGATTAAAAAAAATGGACTTTATCGTTATGGTTAATTATAGAAATGTACACAAAAACCAGGAATGCATTTAGATTATAACTGTATAACATACCTTAAACCGTTCTTCAAACAAAGAAAGCTCAGAAATTAGATCAGTTATAGCATTCATGAAAGCTTCTTGAGGAGAATATTCTGAGACAGTTTGAATTCTAAGAACAAATTTATGTTCAAGAGGATGAGGAACTTTATAACCGGCAAAAATAACATTTGGATCTTTCAACAACTGACTAAAACAAAGTTAAATAATAAGAACCATTTTACCTTATACTTTAAATGCTAATTTACTTTCTAATCATGTTTCCTAATGTGTGGTCTTCTTTGTTTACGGTAAATATAGCAGCATTGGGGACTTTTGTGTCTTGCTCTCGGATAATTCTACAATAAATTGATAGTTAAAATAAACCATCTCTAATTGTTGACAACTTACTTCTTTTCTCCCTCATAAAGAAGAAATGACTCGAATGTCGGCGGGGCATTCATGATTTACTGTTCGTAATTTATTTTAGAAGTCTGTCTATTGAGTCTGTTTGAGTAGAAATCATAAGTACAAACATACTACCTATGCATACTACAAAAACATAACAGACGATAGAGGACATAGATAGAAGAATAAGAAGCATCATTACATAGACATAAGAAAGAAATAACCATAGATAAAAGAGGTCTATAGATAAACAACTCGAGTTTCTGCGCCATCTATTACGATGGGTTAACATTAGAAGAAAAAGGCGGGGAATTTTAAGTTTTTCAGTTTTGTTAAATGATGATGAATTTTAGAATTTGTCATATAACAGCCTATTTTCAAGAAGAAGATGGTTTTTTTCTTCTTAAAGATAGATTGTTATATATAAAATTGTAACCACCCAGGTACTGTGAAGGAATAAGAGTAATAAATATTAAAAATTAGTACAAAAGTATTTTTATTGAATGATTTGTAACATTTATAACAAAAAATACTCCTTGTATAAAAATAACAAGTATATATAGAAATGTTACTACAAATGACGCATATGTATCTATTTTGAGGTGGAAAGTGATCTCAATAAAAACAGTCACAAAAACGCACCAAGCGTTTCATACAGAAGGCAAAATGACTGCATGCAATCTTAGTGGGATTAATAAACTACTCGATTCGCCTAGTGATTTCTGCAGACTGTAACATTAACATATTTTTCATATTAGCATCCCTAGGCTACTCAATCCACTTACAGATGCTGTGTTAAAAAGTAAGATACATTACCAAATTAAAGATTACCCAACGTATAACATATACTGCTACGCCACGAATCTTGGTACATTTTTCCTAAAAAATCAGCCATCAATATTATTTAGAGGATCGAAAATACTGCTGCGTCGAGAATGGTTTCAAGTGGAACATCTGACAATGAAAAAATATGTACTGACAAAAGGCAATTATACATTATACTGTATATGTATACATTACTTTCACTAGACTGTTTTTAACGAGAGAAAATTACACGAGGTTGTGGAGTCGAAATTGCTACTTTACAGAGTTTATAATGCTCACATTCATTCGGGTCATAAATGGAATTATTCGCAACAATTTCTTAAATGTTGTTTGAGACAGTGTTAAAAAAATGTACTTCTTAGTCGACACCTTTTGATTCTCTGAAAAGGTACAGTTTAAAATAGAAGTTGTATACAGATAACCGTATAACGTAAAATTTTTTTTAAATATGGCGGACTTCTGGTTATACTAGAAATGCACCACTTCGTTAGTTTAAATGGAATTCCATACTCTATTGCATTTTTGAATTCCCCATTAAACAAATGTCAGTTTATTAATCATTTATTGGACTTGAGTCGCACTGTTCTAGAGAGTTGGGAATTTCATATTCTGTTTCTGGATGAAATTTCCCGATTTACTAGACCACCGCTTACAGTGCTATTTCATACGATGGGTGTCACTCCTGAGTGACCTATCACGATTGACAGAGTGAAAATCTGCTGGAAATAATTGGATCTGAACCATAGATTACAGATTTATATACTTATGACAGGACAAGAGATCGTATGTTTAAGCTAGGTAATCACATTTACGAGACGGGGAAAGTCCCAGAGGATTATAAACGGGACGTAGTAGTAACATTACCTAAAAAGAGGGGCGCGGATAGCTGCGAGACATTTAGAACAATTAGCTTAACTTCCCATGTCTCAAAAGTCTTACCTGGAATTGTGCAGAGGAGGATGGAAAAAGGGCGGAAGAACCATTAGGGGAAAATCAATTTAGGTTTAGAAGAAATAGAGGAACGCAGAACAATAGAGAAAACGATAGAAAAAGGAAAGAAGGCGTACAAAGGATTTGTAGATTTAGAAAAATCTTTTGACAATGTTAAATGGGACAAGATGTTAAATATACTTAAGCATTTAGCAAGGAGGGCCTAGAGATAGCTTTAAATAAAATGGAAGTGGTACTGACAGATCAGTAATGTATGAAAATAAATAAAAGTAAAACTAAAATACTAGTATGCAAGGGAAGAAAAAGTAGGGAAAGAGACCCCCGTGAAGTTGGCCCCCCCAAATTAGAAAATTATTGATTTTGCGATGCCAATAGGTTGTTAGTCGTTTGTTGGTATTTGTTAGTCAATTTTTATTGTTTGTTAGTTGATAGTTTATTAATAAATGACAATTGAAAATTCAGCGTGAAGTTGGCCCCCCCAAATTAGAAAATTTTCGATTTTGCAATGCCAATAGTTTGTTAGTCTTTTGTTGGTATTTGTTAGTCAATTTTTATTGTTTGTTGGTTGCTATTTTTTAATTTATAAGCAAAAAACCAATCGCTCATCGGACATCATATCGTATTGTCGCGCGCGCAACGATGATCGGGCCGTCGCGCATGCGCGATATTCAATTCAGCTTATTCAGCCGTTCATATGGTTCATATCAGTTCATATATCACCAATTGTCACCATTCCCTAACATCACAACTTTGGTCTTTAAAAATCTTTTAACAAGTTTTGGCATAAGATAACTTTTGATCACTTTAATAAAAATCATGATACATAAAGTGTTTTTATTAGTGAACAAAAAAAACATAAATGAGCGATTGGTTTTTTGCTTGTAAATTAAAAAATAGCAACCAACAAACAATAAAAATTGACTAACAAATACCAACAAACGACTAACAAACTATTGGCATCGCAAAATCAATAATTTTCTAATTTGGGGGGGCCAACTTCACGGGGGTGGGAAAGAGCGAATATAAAGATAGGAGACGAAAAATCAGAAGAAGTGGCTGATTTTCGATATCTAGGAAGTCAGATAAGACAGGACGGAAGGAGTAGCAGTAGCAAATGATAGCGCAGGGTCGTGTCGCCTTAAATAAAAAGAAGTCACTTCTATGTTCGCAAACGGTTAATTTAGAAATTCGAAAAAGATTGTTAAAGATATATGTTTGGAGCGCGGCGTTGTAGGGGTGCGAAACATGCACAATGGGCGTGGCGGAAAAGAAAAGGTTAGAAGCCTTCGAAATGTGGTGCTATAGGCGAATGATGAGGATAACGTGAGTAGAAAAGGTTAGAAATGAAGAGGTACTAGAAAGAATAGGAGAACAGAGGACTCTATGGAAGTCAATAAAAAATATGCGAGATAGGCATATTGCAAATTGCAACCGCCGTCGCATCATCTGTTGACGTTTCACCAAAATGTATGTCGCCTAGTATGTCGGTAATGCCGATTTTGGTAATTTAAAAAATTCAAAAACTTACGTGGGGTAAACTTAGGTGTCGCTGACGCTCGACATTTCATACCCTGAGGTCTAGTCAGAAACATATTAGTGGTAGAACCAGGAGTTAGGAGGGGTAGAGGTAGACTTAGGTTAGATTACTGCTAGCAAATAGTTAAGGATGTGTTGTTCTAGTTTTAGAGAAATGCGAAGATTAGCTCAGGATAGGAAAGAGTGGAGGTACGAGTCCAACCAGTTTTAGGACTGACCTAGTCTAGGGGACTGACAACCTTATGTTGATGATGGTTATGACTTCGACCATAGATAAGAGATATATAGATCATAGATAAGAGATTATAGTATATTGAAAATATTATATATCCTTATTTATGATATAGGAATATCATCTATTAACCCCACAGTTGAGTCGTGTGAATATGGCATTCGATATGTACAATCCACTGATTCGAACTTCACCAACAGGTTATGCATCATTTGCGGGTTCTAATTATGTAAGTGTCATAATTATGCATCCATTAGTTTTGTTAAAAAAAAACCGAAATTGTTTCGGGTATTGGTGCAAATTAAATTTCAATTTATTCAACAACTACTAAATATAAGATAATTTAATTGACGCCAATTGATTGCATGTCATTTGCGCTTTAAGACTGAGCCATTATGGTAAGCCGAGTTCATTTTTATATTTGTTAGTAATGATTATAAATAATATCATATTTTTCAATGGTATAAGTATGATCATACTATTATCTATAATTCACCAATGGTGCATGCGTATTAGTAATATCAATGAAAAATTAAGTATTACTTATCGAATTTCAAATCTGCTTCGCACTATAATAATTATACTATTTAAATTGTCAAGTTGTATCATACTTAGCCTCTGAGGGGTGATGATAAATGATTTACAATTTTTGAGACTAGAGACAACGGCCTGACTATATGTATGCCAACAGTGGCCTCTTCTCCCCACTAGCTCCCTTTTTAATGTTTTAAATTATTTGACCAATAGTTTAATCCATGTTTGAGGTTTTACTAATCTCAGGGTATGAAATGTCGAGCGCGAGCGACACCTAAGTTTACCCCACGTAAGTTTTTAAATTTTTTAAATTACCAAAATCGACATTACCGACATACTAGGCGACATACATTTTACTGAAACGACAACCTAGGACGACAACAGATGATGCGACGGCGGTTGCGATTATTGGAGGAATTCCCCAGTAGTTGTGGCGTTATTGAGCAATAGTGAGTAGTTTCACAACTTGTAAGTGTTAAAATTTTTGTGAAAAGTACTTTTACCTATCCTGAAAGTAAGTAATATATTAAGTACTTCAATCATGCTTTACAATAAGTAAAGAAAGGATGTTTTCTGCCCAACACAGAAAAACCGTGATGTACAGTCTACACTATTACGGGGTCAAATTAATTTGAAATGTTCTACGTAGATTATACAGTTCCTGCAGGAGTTAAAGGTCAAGATGCCGCTTTCCATTTTCCTGAAGTAACAGCGGTTCCAACGAAAGTGGCAGGTATTGTAATTTGTTGTTGTGAAACTTAAGTTCTAAAAAAAA